GTACAGATGAGGAGACGGAGGCTTAGAGAAGTTCGAGAAACCGGACGGTGCTCAGAGGCGGGCAGAGCCGGACTGCGCTGGCCGCGCCCGCGCTTCGTTCGTCCCGCAAACCCGGCCACGGGTGGAGACCTTAGTGCCACTTTGTTCCTTCTCCCGGTGCAGTTTCTCTTCTTGTAAACCGACCGCACTTCACTGAAACGCTCTGCACGCCTTCGGGCACTCAGAGGAGGGCACGGGGACCACGGGCGTCGGACACTGCTGGACGGACACTTCTGTCGGCTCCTTCCTGGCATCGCAGACCGCGAGGAGGGTCCCACCCAGTGGAGGGTCCCATCCCAGTGACGGCTCAGCCCCGTGGCAGAGGGTCACAGCCCCCGGCAAGCTTTTGGAAGTACAGTCCACGAGTGGAGACAGCAGCCTTTTAACAAGTCTCCCCCAGGCGTCACTACCTGAGTGAGCAGGGTTTTTAACCATGGAAGAATATTCTCAAGTAATTGAATTAATTAATTGACCTTGCTCCACTGACCAGATATCCTTTGCAATTGTTATTTTTTGAAAAAATTTATATATATATAGATATATTTATATAGATACATTTATATAGATATATTTATATGTGTATATAAATATATGTGTATTTATCTATATAAATATATATCTATCTCCTGGCTTTTCTGATTTGTAAAAGAGCAAGATGTTGGGGGAGGGGAGGGGAGCATGAGAAGATGAAAGGTTTTATTTTCTCTTCTCGCAATACCTAAGATGTTTGTGCCTTAATTATTAAATGTACTTAATTATAGGCGACTCCAAGCTGTTCCCAGGCCCTCCTTAGGGCCAGGACTTTATAATAAATGCATTGTGTGCCTCAGGGGGGTTCCATTGACAGGCGTCTAAACCCATCTCGGTCTCTGCAGTGAGCCCCTGTAGTGCTGAGAAGGTCCATTGTTATTCGCGAGCGGCCAGGAGGAATGAATGCCTTGAAAAGCTGCAGTATATGGTGTGTGTTCCCCCTGGAATCCTTTGTGTGCCCCCCCAGTAAAATGACCTCATCACGCGCCGGGCAGCTGGAGCACAGCCACAAGAAGTGGATCAGACAGGGAGCATTTGAGCCCATCACATGTTTGGACTGAGTCATTTAATTCTTTACACGACACCCTTTCCTGTGAACTGTCAGAGGAGGAGAAATCCATCAATGCCAACGAGATTTTCTCTAAAAAGTCCTAGGGCCTTGAAAGCCACTTAGAAGTGGTTTTCTATAGACGCCATTGTCGGTGTTCCTGAGAGGTCAGCTCCGGAGGCTACAACCCTCCGTCCACCTGGCTCCTGTCAGATCAGCCCAAATTAAATTCCTCAGGGAACAGAGCAGAGAGGTACAGGACCAGGGGAGCAAGAGCAACAGTCGCTATTTGTTGTGTTTTTTTCCTAATTTGTTTCTAACAGTCGCAATTATAACAGATATGCCACAAATTCTAAGCCCGTGAGTGTCTCCAGGCTGGACAACTTTTTTCTGGAATTGCATCTCAGGAATAGTCGACTGTCCACTTGTATTTAGTAAACTGTACATAGCTTTTTCATGTTATTAAGATGTAAACTGTCCACTTATTAAAAATTATCCCAACCAGGAACACATAGGGCTTTATGAAAATGCCTGGACAAAGAGTCTCATCACTGCTCGTTTCTGGTTCGGGGTTCTCCCATAAAGTTCTTGCCTCTTGGCGTCCCGTCACCTTTTTACTCAGACTCACTGTGGCAGAAGTCACTACAGGTACCGTGATGGACGGGCACCGCAGCGCTCCACCTGGAGAATTCTCCGGAAAAGAAGGTCTAGATCCTGCCCAGCCATTAGCCACCTTGCGAACTTGGGCCAGTCACTTCCGGGTCTCAGCTGCTTCATCTCCGCATTTAAAAGCTGGACAAAATGATCTCTAACGCTGAAGTTACATGTTCCCACGTCTCACTCGGTGAATCGACTTTGTCCCTCGTACGTCTTGCAAGCACCACATCGGTTCAGTGTATTTTTGTCTCCAGAACCCCACACACACATAGGAGGCCCCGCTGTGCAGAGGATTTCGCACCTGTGTCAACTGCCCTAACTAACTAATGTTACCGACTGAATACGCATTCTGAAAGCGCCCTCGTCAGCTGGACGGATATTTCTGTTGGATAACAATTCACAAGATCTCTGATCATTGTCTCTCACTTTCCACTTTGCTGCCTTAAAAGACAATTCTGTTTCTGCTGATTTGCACAGTGGGATCAAAAAGGATGAGGAATTGGAAAACTACTGTGTGCCCCGGTCGAACAATGTGCAATTGTGCATGTGGTTTGTTTTTTTTTTTTTTTTAATTGTTAAATCCTGTAAACAAAAACCTCTAGAGTCAGGGGTGGGGCGGTGCTCGCCAGGCAAACCTCTCAAGTGGAGAAGGATTTGACACTCTGCTGAGACGAAGCGCTGTCGGAGGCTGTCACCTTCTAACAGACAGCGTCTGCTCTTGCACAGCCGAGCACGCTCGCTGCCTTAGGAAGGCCAGGGTTACATAATTTTAAATTGAGTGGTGCCGTGGTATTTGGCCACTCAGAGCAAAGGACAACACTCTTAAGGTGGTTCGGATCCAGAGGGTGGCGAGAATGTCATGTTCCGCTCTAAGAAATCTCAGCAAGGGACAGGAGAACTTTAGGGAGCGGCCATGCCCGGTCCTCGCCCTCAGCAGGTGCCAGAGGCTCCCTGGATCTTCCCTCTTCCCACCGGCTTCACCGAAAGACCTCTGGAGCCACCAGCCCTTTCCCTGAAGGAGCAATCAGAGTGTTCGCCAACAAACTCTGCCCCCGAAGGTGGTGGCTGCGACCGCAGAGGAGTTCCAGAACCTAAGGGTTTGTCGAAGTCGCATGCCACTCTGAAGCAGAGTGATGGTGGCGGGAGCCTGACCCGGAAATGGAAGGGAACAACGTCTGCACGTCCGGAAGCAGGTTTGTCTCCTAATGCAGCCAGAATGTGACAAGAAAATGAGGAGCCTGCCGGGAAGTCTCTGCGTCATCGCTCTCATGGTGCCATACTGGAAGCATTAACTGAAACGAGGAAAAATAACTGTATTTGCTCAGGACATTAAAGTCGGAATTTCAAACGAAATCTACGTCTATTAATAAATATGATGTTCACGTAATGAGACGTTTTCTTCATTCTGGCACTGAGAAGTCTTCGCCGTGGGCCTCCAGGACAGAGGGAACCTCGGCAGAGCTAGTTGATCCACTTCCTTTGACAGAAGACTTTCTGGCCCATGTGAAACTCAGCTCTGAAAACACGGCCCCAGAAAGGAGCACTGTGGGCCCCGTGGGCATCACGTCGCAGGGCCGGAGAGGCAGCCTGTCCACCCACCTCGCCCTGGCCTCTGGGGGCAGTTCCCACAGAGCCAGGTTGCAGGGCAGTAAGCCCCCCGAAATAAAAAGGGGCAGATGACCGGGGGTACCCAGGGCTTCGTTAGTGGGCACGTGGGCTGGGAGACACAGCTGTTCGTTTTGACGCTGATAAAGGAGGGGCCTTTACCGGAAAGGTGTCCGCGAGGCCCCGGTGCTTTGGAGCAGGATCTTCCAGGCCCGTGGAATATGCGCGTCCGCGCGCTGCAGGCTTCAGCACAGACCTCTGACCCTCACGTGCAGCATCCGAACTGAAGACTCTCTTTCTCTCCCTGACCTTTCGTGGAGACCGCAAGGACCAGGAATGCTCTCCGCAGAGGTGGGAGGTTGTCACGGCTCCGCAAAACCGCCTGAAAGCAGATATTCAGCCACTTGGCTGGAGTACAGCTGCCCACAGCTGGCCTGGCTCCTCGCCCCAGCCCGCCTGTAGGTGGTGTTTGTCAGGGAGAGGGGCTTCTCTTTTAAAATACAAATAGCCCTGAGAGGCTATCCGTCATGCACGTCTCGGTTTGAATTCCTTCATTCACATGCTTTCCTCCTAGCCCAGCCGA